ACAATGAATGTTGATGCCGATGGCTTGGAGGAGTTTTAATGGCCTCACCGTTAGTTCAGCGCGTGTGACGGCGGTTCACCTAGTGTTACACCAGACGAATGAGTGATGCCATCATTTTCCAGACTGTGTGCTTCTGGACAGCGCACCAGCTCGTGAATCAATCTGCGACAGCCCCAATTAAACAGGAGACGTCGCTGAGCGAACCCTCTCTCGCCAGCCGAGTGGGTGTCGTTTCTGTGGTCAACACCGACACCAAGCTCCGGTAGACAGAATGATTATCCCTTCTTAATGACATTTAACGCCGACTCACAATGATTGGTAGAAGACCTGATCCAACACTGCACATCTTAGAACTACTTCGCCTAACGCCTGCCATAAGAACCTTCTCGAACCCACCTCCTCATTCTCACTATCATTCTACACCGAATTGCACACCGCCGTTTCCACAATACGAGATCTGCTTTAATCATGACATCGGCTACAACACAACATTTTCCAAGATTACTCCACCAACTTCGGATCTCAATGTCATCTGCCGACTCCACGATACCCCCCACCCCTCTCTACCTCTAGTCAGTTCAGCAAGTTGATGCATCATCCCCTGTTAAACGTCTTGAATAAATCTCGGAGACAGGGTTATGACAGATTTTGTAGTTTTATTTCATGCAGTTTTAATACAAATTGTGAGTACAAATCACCATTTTCCTTAGTGGAAGCAGAGTGAATGACTACCAATAATTACAACGTCATTTTACTATGTAGCAAGAGATTTAGCAGATAGCAGCCTTCCTTTTGATTCTCTCAAGAAATATATGCGGAAATGTCGCAGTTATTATTCCATTGCCTCCGGGTAATCTGAAGTGATTTGCTTTTGAAAACGATTTTCCAACCCTTTAAAAACAACCGCTGTTTTTTCATTAACTTGGTAAAACTAATTAAATTTAAGTAATCAACGCTGGTTTGACGTTAATCGAAGTTTTGTCCCTCTAAATCCCTTCCACATGTTTCCATAATCCTTCAATGACTCATAATCAAAACGATGAAAAGGTTTCGCTTGATTGTGGTGCGAATGATGCGTTTTCGTTACTATGGCCGCTTAGGTCACGCATGCATGAAGCACACATACACCAACACACACGTGGCCTCGGCAACACCTGATCTCAATTTTGTTGCAAAACCCGCTTAACCAATAAGCATCAGGTGGATGACTAATCCACTCACGCCTCTGCGCTTAACTCATAATTGCGAAGTGAGTAAAGCTCAGACCTCGTGACTACTCAAACCAGCCAATCAAAGCCGCTGGCGATACAGTTTAAATCTTGATCGATTGCATTCTCGACTATAAACAAGGTTTAGTTCGTGCACGAATACATGTCGCACCTCAGGTACTGAATCTAATTGTCACCCCTCTTTTCCGATAATTTGGTGTGGAAATGTTGTGCTCCCCTTAGCCAGGCTTTTCCTTCTGCATTGATGGGGTCCACTTCTATGAACGAAGGGTCTAATTGGCACATATGACGCAGGGGGGGCTTGGTCACCCAATAATCAATGGGAGGAGCATTGTAGCGTGAACACAGCTCACTGAGGTCATGGAAGGATATTGAGGGGGGTCAAGGGGCACCTCTTATGATGTGCCACTCCCTTCTTCAAAACAGAACTTTTCTATCCGGCTAAATTTTAGGTGTCAACTCATTGAGTAGGTGGAAGTTATGGTCAAGAGACTGCGATAATATTTCTCAGGTCTGTTTACGGCAACTCCTACTGGCTTTTGATTTTGCACTACGTGTCACCAAACGAACAATCACCAAGACAACGCGGTTATTGGTGTCTACAGCGTGAACTAAAACATTTACGACCTCCGCGTTTTCCAAGAAATCTCTTTCACCAAGTATTTGTTGATTATTTCCCGAAGTGAAAATTGAAAAATCGAGTTGACTCGTGATTGCACACGAAACCGGTATTTTTGCAATTGGTTACTGCAAGAATCATTACCTGTGAGGCAGTGAGTCAGCAATGTTTAGCAACACAGTAATTAGATCCACCAATCGCGTTGCCCCATGGCACGTGACGTTCGGGTACTTAGTGGTAATTAGCAGTACAGCTCGTTTGATGGATTGGTTGGTTTCGCTGTTTACACAGATCCACTTGCGTGCGTGCAAGAAGTGAATTTAGCCTGGGTGCAGCCTACTTAATCACTCGAGCACCTGTTCAGTGTACACAATGCACACATACACACACACAGGCACACAGTAGCCCCGGCTAACCACAGGCCGGTCTATTTACTAAATTTACTACTTATCGATAACGCACACCATATGGCAGCTTCTGAACCAATCAGAGAACGGGTGGTCAGTGGCAGCGGCCGGTACAGTTCTTTGTGGTCAGTTGAACAACCACACGCAACATATGGGTTTCGAGGGGGGCGGAGTAAGGGTTACTAACTCTGTCACTAAGTCTTACTCCTTACTTCTGAGCAGAACAACGACTGGACTAGGTTTGGACCAATTAGTGGACAACGGTGGCACCGCAGTGCGGTCCCTGGTCGAAAATAGGAGTTTAAATTAAGTGCGTTGTTTATATCACAAAAAATTAATCTGTTTGATGTAAAAACAGCGAATACAAAGTGCAGTAATGCTGCGAGGTCATAATACAGTATCTTCCTGT